TGTGAATCCTTAACACATAACAGTATTTGTTGTAGGAAGGCAGGATTATGTACATTATCAGTTGTCTGCAGTACATCTTCATAAAAGGTATTATTATGTATTAGGCAGAGGGAAACTATTTCGTTAGCTATTATTATAACACCCCCTGTATTAATTGTTAATTCCAGTCTGGGTTTTGATCACCATTATGATGTGTTCATTCAACTGAGAAATGCTTGAGGTCAAACAAGTCAGAGTATTTCACAAAGAATAATTTTTTAATAAAGCTAATGCAAGTACATGGAAAAGCGAGTTAAAATGTTAGATCATTTTACTGGTTTCCAATTAATTGGATACAGTTCTTCTTATCTGTAGATTCCTTTTTCTGCATTTGGTTTAATTGAAGTCTTTCTTCTATGCTCTACAGAGAAACAAAAATTAGCATTTTATTCAAACTGTAAGTTAGCTTGATTTTTTTCCATTTTATCTTTTAAAATGTATTACCTTTACTTATTAATGCTTATTAACTTAAATAGACCTGTATTTTACTGTGAAGGGAGTTAATGTTCACATCAGGAATTGAAATTATGTGGCAATAATTAAATATATGTATATACTGTAAATAGTATTTTAAGCAATGGTAACCCTTGTTGGAGTTTACTTTTCAGTTTCTGGTTTTATGGGGTATTAAAAGTACCAATTATTCATGTCATAGAATCCAATTTCTTACTGCTAAAACAATGATTGCAGATAAGGTAAATTAAAATTAACAATAGGAAAATAATATGTAAATTGTTAGAAAAAATTCTGATTAATATAAAACCAAGGTAAGTGACTAAACTGCAGACCTTTAAATTATAAACTGTTCAGATTGTGAAGGTGCGATAAAGGATTCCAGACCTCAGGACATTGGAAATGCAGATTGTGAGTAATCTAAAGACAGATTTGGACAAAGCAGTCCTTCTGAATGTGTCTGTAATGACATAATCTGTTATGTAATCAGATGTTCAGTGTATTCCAGCTGGAACATCTGTGGTGTTATTCAAGTGTCAAGTTTATTGTCATTATACCCATACACAGGTACTGTATATGGTATAACGAAATGCTATTTAGCTATCTCTCAGATGGCAAGCAGTACAAAAAACAACAATACAATTGTATAAGAAAGACAGAGACAACAGGCAATGTGCCAAGCATCAACAGGCAATATGCAACACAACAACAGATAATGTGCAAAACAACAACAGGAAACAGGTGACATGCATCAGATGTGCGGAATCATACATCAACAGAATTAAATAAAGGATAGAAAATTATGGGGAGTGAACATCTTGACATGTGAGGTAGAGATGTGTTAGAGTTATGATAAAAGGAGAAGCCACTGTAAGGGTTCAGATCGTGCGTGAGAGAGGCTGGGAGTTTAATAGTTTGATAGTGTGGGGGTAAAAACTGTCTCTGAGTCTGGTAGTCCGGGTCTGGATGCTCCGGTACCATTTTTCTGATGGTAGAGGGTCAAACAGTCTGGGGTGTGTGGGGTCTTTGATGATCCTTAGAGCTTTCCGCAAGCACCGTCTGTCATAAATGTCCTGTATGGATGGGAGGGCAACCCTAATGATGGACTGGGCAGTTTTCATCACCCACTATAGGGCTTTGCGGTCAGGAAAACTGCAGTTGCCAAACCACATTGTGATGCAATCTGTCATTGTGCTTTCTGTAGTGCATCTGTAAAAGTTAGTGAGGATCTGGGGACATATCTTAGCCTTCTTCAAACCGTCTTAGGAAGTACAGGACCTGTTGCACTTTCTTAATCAGACAAGTGGTGTTGAGAGACCATGTGAGGTCCTCGGTGATATGAACACCAAGGAATTTGAAGTTACTGACCCTTTCCACTTCAGTCCCGTTGATGTGGGACTTGTGACTAAAGTCTAAACTAAAGTTGCTTTCTCTTTGATTTTAATGTGTCGTTTGTTCTTCATCTCAAATACTGTATATAGTCTGTTTTTTACACAAAAAAGTCATTGCTTATGGAATGAGAATAACCAGTGTATTCTTCTGACTCCTATTTGTACAAGTTCAAAAAGTTCTGAGCCTACTGCAGAATGAAGCAATACAGACACATTTTTGTACTACCTATATTGCATGCCATTTTCTTTCATATTTACAGTAGTTAGGAATAGTTAATTGGCTTCTAGAGCGACTGGCCCTGGTGTGAGTGTGTGCATGTTTGTTTCTGTGTGCCCTGCAATGGACTGAGCACGCCTGCCGAGATTCCCTCACTATCAGTTCAACATACAGTAATGCTACCACCTTAGTACCAGCATGGAAGCAATGCATCTGACATCTGAGAATGCAGATATTCTCTGAAATGTACTGTACAAGCCATATAAAAAGGAAAGGTGTACTGGAAAGGTACATTAAGGAATTAACGGTTTCATGCTGGTACAATGTAACATCTGGGATGTGAAAGACAGTATTAACCAAAGAACAAGCACACACCCTGAAATACATCATTCCTCTTGGAAAATAGCTTGTTTGGGTAAAATAATATTTCTGTGTACGTGTATTTAAAATGCTTTTCATTTGTAACAATTAAAAAATATCCTTTTGACATACAAAATACTTTCGTGTCACACTTGCCAGGTTTGTAGGTATGGCAAATGAACATGCAGGTACTTCGGGCTTGGTAGAACGTCATCTATAATGCTAGACAACATCACAGATTAAGTTTCAGTTAAAGTTCAATGGAGGTTAAAAAATGTCAGTAAACCATTGAACCTGTTGAAGATTTCCTTAGGAGTTGGAATAGAGAATGTAGAGGCTGTTCAGATTTCTGTTGGCATGTGATGTCTGAACTGATGTGTGAAGCCTCTGAATGGACGTAGTTGTTAATATTTTATTTGAACTGATTTCACCAACAATGTTGTATTAAGTCAGAATGAAAGCCTGGTTAATGAAAGACTTTGAGATGCGTCTGATGAAAACAAGGAGTGTCTGTCACTGTCAGAATATTTACAGGGTTTGACCGGTCATGTCTTAAAGATTGGCATCTTTAAAAAGTTTGACAGAAACCTTGTTTGTTGCTATGGATTGTCTAGCTTACTGTGGTTATTGAAACTTTTGGTGGCTGATTTTTCATGATAAACAAATCATGAAACAGTACCCTTTGTGAGCAAACATGAAAACAAAACACTGGAGTTAGAAACTATAGGAACTATAGGAAACTAGACGGACAAAACACGAGAAAGGTCTAATGATATGGTAACTAGAGATAAATGTTGCTACAGATTAAGGCATAAGCAGTCTGTTAAAGGTGAGGTCCAAGATATGAATGGCTACAGTGAAAACACTAAAAAGATTGTGCAATTAAGTACTTTGCAGATGTTTTTTATCAGCTGAAGGTACCTGTTTTTTTAAATAGCATTAGAGTGTTGAACTAGATAATATAGATTCACAGGAAACTCAATAATGTTTGGAAACTGACATATCAAAGCTTGTGGTGATATAAACACAGAAATTGAATCCTGTGCTCATTTTTGGCCTCCACCTTAATTTATAAATCCCGTTAGCTTGGAAGGATTCAACACAAAGACGTAAGACAAAGGTGGAAATTAAATCTGGGATATTACTGTTGATGGGACAAACAGAATTTCCATATTAAATCTGTTAAATATTTGTTCAAACACTCATTCATTTGCAAAAGCTAATAACAGCCATGTTTAATTTTCATAGTAGACACTTGCTTTATCTTTATCCCTTCAGTCATATTTTAATAAAAAAGATCTCTTTACACAATATGGGTTAAGGCACAACAATTCCATATATGTTTGTTTTCCTTAATGTATTCTTATGTAAGTGTCAGTCATTATCATCCATCTTAATTTGCCTTACATTTGTAATAATGGATAAATTGGTTTTGAATGTTAGACTAATTGTACTGTACGTAGCAATGAGGCTATCTTCACCACCTTAAACTAAGCTGTAGTGGTTTTATTTAATGTTTAATGTTTATATAATTTGCACAACATATTAAAAAAATAAAAACGAATGGTTTTTTTCAGCCAAGGGAAACATTTGTAGAGCCCACCTGAGACTTTGTCATCAGGATCTATGATAAGCTGCAGCCTATGCAGTTTTCTTGGGATTTTTTTTTCTCTCCAAGGATTTCAATGGACATGCAGTGCACACGTTATGAGGTCTTTTTTATGTCATTTGTCATTGTTTACTCTTTACTGTCATTAGTCATTGTCAACCGCACATGATGGCTTTGCCTTTAACCTGTGCCCACAGGTTTTTGTGATGGGTCACATTAAACAGGAACAGGAACACTTTGTTTCTAAAATAAAGTGATATACATCACTGTGGGTTCAGTCTGAAAGAGTTATGATCAAGTTCTTCCACTGTGGGGAAACCACTTGAATCATGTAGATGTTGTTGAGCCTGTTCATGTAGACTTCTGAAGTAAAACCAAAATATCCTATTCTAAAGTAAAGGGGAAATTTAGGCTTGAATTTCAGCATTTATTTAACCTCTTTATTTCATTGGAGAAAATATTTGACTTGCAAAGAAACATTATACATACAGGTATCTAAGACATAATATATGATCAACCTTCTGGATGTTTTGTTTCACAGTGTGGCCTGTTTGTGGATCATCTTTCATGGTCAAATGCAGTTCTGAAAGAGCCAGAAATATGAATACGAAAGAAGCACAGAATAGAATGTTTTTTTTAAAAAAGCTGTGCATAATCTACTAATAAAGTGTTGTTCCATTTACCACAAACAAGCCATTTCAAGTGAGGTTTTGTTTATACATGTACCAAGGTTGTTGTCTACAATATGCCTTGTTTCTATTGCAAACACTGAAGGTTTCCATGGCTTTTTGAATATTTGTGATCTGGTAATGTCGGTTTATACAAGAGTGTTGAGTGTGAGTGTGTAAAGAGAAGTAAATTCTCCTTATATGTCAATACTGAAGACTCTTTTAAATGTTAATTGTTTTTTTTTTCTTTCACACTTTTTTAGTGTAATCTTTATTGTGGGGAACCTTCAAAAGAAGAGGAAAGATGTGCAGAACTTCAGGATTCACTTTGATTCTCTGTTTGCTCTTCATTGTATTTCAGAAGAGTACTGGTAAGCATCAATTAGAAATACTTAGTGTCTACACTTAATGTGCATGCAGAACAGTGGGGTTTTTTGTCTGTTAATTTGTAATTGTGAGAAATAGGTATTAATGAGCTATAATGTTTTTTTTAAATAGTACAGTATTGTGAACATGAACACTTACTGGCGCACAATGAACTAATGCACAAGCAAGCCTTTACTATCATACTGTAGAGGATCCTTGCATTTAATTTAGCAAAATGTAATTTTTTTATTTGTAATTATGAATATGATTCATTATTAATAAGAATGAAATAATGTTTGCAATAAAGTAGTACTTTCCTCTCTGAGGTGTTTCATTGAAATATAGGGAAAAATACTGCTGTAGTACATAACTGCACATCACTGTCATATACTGGGAGTACAATTGAAGGGCTGACACATTCTTTGATGTTGTACCATAATGTACTGTAGCACAGTTTTGACTCAAAGTCGCCAACTTCCTTAAGAGCAAATAGTTGTTTGTTTCTTTATGATATAAAACTGAAAGTATAAAATAAGAGATACAGATCATTGTACTTTTAATAGCAAGGGAAGTTAAATATATTGTTGGTGAAACCACTTAAACAACCCCTGGATATTTGCTAAGAATTATACTTAATTGCATTTTTCAACACAAAGTATTTGTTCAGTAAGAGAAGAAATTATAGATATTTGATTGCTTAGTTCAGCCTGTAAAATCATTTTAACTGGCAACAAGAAGGCATAAATATTTTGATTGCTAAATCGTTATCCTGTACAGTATGGCAAATGAACAGGTATGGCAAATGAACTTTTTGAGCTCTACAGATGATGTATTAAAGTCTTTAATTATAAGAATGCACCAATATATGGACCATTCACTGCCCAAGACGTTGCATTTTGTCTTCCACAGCACTGTCATCTTCATCTGTAACACTAATTGCCTTTGAGAAATCTGCAATCTAATTAAACATTTATCTTTAATACAGATAATTTCTCTACCACCAGTTTTACAATTATGTCAATCATTGGTCTTTTCCATAGTGGCAGACTTTGTGATAACCAACTCTCTAAAGCAGTGGTGGGCAGTCCTGGTCCCGGAGGGCATGTGTCTGCGGGCTTTCATTTCAGCTCAGCTCTTTATTGGCTTAATGGGACCAATTTAACAACTTCTCCCAGCTCTTCAAGTGCTGGTGCATTATTTAGAAAATCTACAGCCACACTAGCCCTCCAGTTCCTGCATTGCCCTCCCCAGCTCTAAAGAAATTGATTGATTTCATCATCTGTTTTAATCAATATTCAGAGGCTAATCATTTTGAAACACAATAGACACATCAGAATTGTATCTCAAGTTCTTATATTTTCACAGTGTAATATAATAAATGCATTGTTGGTACACCAGTGTTCTCCTATAGTACCGGTTGTCTTTGGATAACCTTTGCACTCAACTATGTAACATCTATGAAAATTGATGTAAAACTGCTGTTGTATGTTAACCGATTGTACCTTCTCCCTGCTGTTGTGTCAGGTCACGAGCCTCCTGGGAAGCCGGTATTGCTTGGTTGCAGATCACCAGAAAAGGAGACTTTCACCTGCTGGTGGGAACCGGGATCTGCTGGAGGGTTGCCTACCAACTACTCTCTATATTACAAAAAAGAGGGGTGAGTCAGTTTAAAATCTATAATTCTGTTTTACTGGTAATTTTCCTTAAAGAAAAATGAGACCATAAGCTTACTTATTTGATTACTATTTTACACTCATATGAAGCTCACAGTTGGCTTTTTTGCTTAAACTGCAAGGCTGCATTCACAATTCAAATCCAGATAACACCCTTTGTTATGCTGAAGCAAATGAAATGTTGAAATAAATAACTTTTTTTCCAGCTAATTAGAAGTGTCAGTCTTCTTAAAGGGCTCTATGAATCTTTCCCATGTTGCCCCTATTTACTAGAGACTGTTAAATAAAGTTACAATAGGGGTGATTTCAAAACTGCAGTGCCTTACAGATTTGATGTTATTTTCAGGCAGTAGGGTGCTAAGGCATATTTATTGCAAATTCATAAATCTATCATGGAATCCATCTGGGGAGATCGATTAAAATTCATTTGGGTTCATATGCAGGGGAGTTAAAAAAATGACAGGTCTTTTTTAGTCTTAATCTGTTTGTCATGTGGGACTCTTAGTTAAAAGTGAATAAATCTCTGTTCATCTGCAGTCAGGAACACAGTCAGTACAGTGTTTTCTCATTTGTGTTGTAAAGACTAATGCAGTAGGGCTCTTAGCTTTGCTTTAGAAAGGTTGTGACACTCCTTTTCTTTTTTAGATTTTGCATGTGGTCACTGTTTAACCAAACATATTTAATGCCAGGTGCAGACGTATGTAAATAATGAGGCTACTGGGTTCAATTACTTCGTACAATAAAATCAAAGCAGGATGGTGAGATAATTCAGCTCAGTAAATCTGACAAGCTTGCTTCTTTCAAGGTGACGACAAGACATTAAATCTGTTTGTATTCTAAAGTTTAAGATTTTCTACAAAATGCACTACATAAATACAGTATATATATATATGAGTACACACATATCCATATGCATGTTTTTAAGGATAGATACATACTGCATTGTAATAAGCTAATATTGTATGTAAAAGTTTACTTTATCATACAGACCTGCTGAATAGGTTGAAAATGACAACACACCCTGCCCTTCCCCCAGCACACATGAGAAAGAGAAGCAAACCAGTTTGACAGCCATTCCTTATATCCAAGCAGAAACATGTTTCTATGAGTCATTTGCATGCTTAAAGTGTACAGATATCTACACCAGTTGTGCCATTCACAAATACAGTATTGTGACAGTTATAATATATGGAATGGGGAGGCCAAAACAGTATTTCATATTCAAGGACTTAATATGTGTACAGTATATGCCTAAACGGACAGACTGATCAGCTTTGTGGAATGTAAAAAAACAATTCTAGCTAGTGCAAGTATCTATATTTGGCAGTGGGCCTTACATTATAAACCCCGGGTCCCTTTCCAATAGACTTCTTCCATGTACAAACCATGAATAAATATTCCAAAAATCTAGATCCAATTAAAAGATGTTTTGTTATATATATATATCATTTTCCATCTATCCATTTTCTAACCACTCATTCCAGTACAGGTTCATGTGGGAGCCCTAGCCTATCTCAACAAGCAACAGGTGCAAGGCACACATAGGGACAATTTTCAGGAGCCAATTAACCTACCAGGATGTCTTTGGACTGTGGTAGGAAACTGGACCACTCAGAGGAAACCCACACAAACACAAAGAGAACATACAAACTCCACAAAGGCATCACCCCTGGAATTGAATCCAATGCTCCAGCGCTAAACTGTGTTGCCTTTCTTAAATGAACAGTGTACTTTGTGACTTCTGTGTTACTGTTAAGGTAGCACATAACAAATAACTGGATCACACAGCAATGGTGATAAATCATGCTATTTTACACAAATATAACACAACTGATATATTGAATGCAAAGTAAATGTTTTATATGCTGTAACTATCTTGTTTTGGCAACTAAATGTTTTATTTTAAAATTATGACAATTAAGCTATAGCTATTAATTTACGCATTAGGATAAAAGACATTCAAATTATTAATGCGTCTCAGCTGTGTCTCGTTGTCTCTTAAGGTAGACCCTTTCCATCTTCTGGTCAGCTGATTCTTTTTGTCCGCCATCTCGCTAAGGTCCATCTCTAGCATTTTCAGCGTTTCGTTTCGGAAGTACCTGTTAGAGATGACCCTTCC